GTCTGCTTCCCCCAACTTCCTTACTACACCCCCACCATTTGTCTTAATGTATGAGTGTGGAACATGTTTAAATCCAGTGGCACCAAGGCATTATACAATAAAATAATGTGATTAATGCATAAATAAAAGAAATTCCTATACAGCCTTTCACAATCATATGCGAAATACAGCTGTATAAATGTGTCGCAGCCCCTGGCATGCGCACTCACAACAATGGCTGAGCGTAAACAGTCATGTGTGGACACATTTTATCTCCACGAACAGCCAACACGCGGTTTGCGATACATGGGGAAAGAGAGTGAGGTGTTGTGGCAACACCTCTAACCTCGTCAAACACCTTAGGGTCAATCATATCACAGAATATGATGAGGCGAACTGAAGAGGAGGAGAGGGACAGGTGCTGCTAGGGCGAGATAGGCGTCTCTCGCAGAGTCCTTTAGTGCTGTAGGCAGGCAACATACTCAAATAGCGCACAATTTCAAGTTTTTTATTTCTATATGATAATTCTACATTATTAAGCAATATGAACAAGTAGTCTGATGTCCTGTAATCATTATTAATCTATATTATTACAATTACATAATACAATTATATATTTTTTCTTCATGCATTAATCATCCAGGAAAGTAAATCTCCAAAAGTTGATGTCGGACGTAGCGTTTTGTGGGAGAAACGTTTCATCACTCATCCAAGTGACTTCTTCAGTCTCAGCTAACTGCAGTTTTCTCCAATCTTATAAACAGTACATTTGCACAATGACTGAAACCAGCCCACTGAAGGAACAATGGGTTGGGAGGTCAGTTTCTTAATCTTAATTATGCAAATTCTCATGACCATTGACCAACAACCACTGACCAAAACCTTGATCAGTGGGTTATTGATAACAATGTCATCTGCAAACATTATAATCCAAAGAGACTGTTAACTTATCTTGCATGTCAGCCTGTCCATCACAACTGGAAGCAAGAAGGGGCTCAGAATTGATGTAATCCCACCCCCACCTTCAATCAATCTGTTACCACACATTTCACCATTCTGTCTTCATGTCCTGGACCACCAGATCCACAAAGACATAGTGAAGATCTGACAGTCTCCATCAAACCCTCAAAGCAAACATCACATCTGTAAATCTCTTTCCATTTACTTGCTCATTTTACCTGGTCCTAAGTCTTTCTAATACTTAGCTTGCTCAATGCTGTCAA